GGTTCTGAAAAGGAGCGCAGATATCTACTGCAGAGCAGTGGTGGGGTTTCAGATGGTGCCATCTCGTCCTTTCCAGCCCTCTCACACAGCCCGCAGAGGTTGCTGGAAGGCGATGGTTGCCCCCATCGCCCCGAGGCAGATGAGACACGCTCACGGTTCCCTGCCCTGCTTCAGGTGCTGCTGATCTAAGCAGCTCTGGTTCAGTGAAGCCGGGGCTTTGCGTTGGAGCAGAAGAGGAGAGCTCGTGGTGCTTGCGGCGTGGTAACGCCGGAGAAACCCGGTCCTGACCTCTGGCAACTGCCCTCACGCTGAGTGTCACAGGGTGGGAATGCACTGCCACATTTCACAGCGTCAGCCTCCTATGTGACAGTGGATTAGTGTCAGAAAGCAAACGGATGGGCAGTCCCTGCCTCCTTTCTTCCCTCTCTGGCCAAGGCAGCTATTCTAGCAAGTTACTTAGCAATGCCATCTAAGGAGACGGTGGTCCATATCAGAGATGGAATGGGCAGCAGAGGTATCTAAAGGCAACCTGCCGCAGCGCGGGAGCCGGAGCCCCTGAGCTCAGCTCGGAAATGGCTGGGCTGGGGCCAGCTGGGGCTTCACTCTCCTTGTAAAGACATTGCTCTGCCCAGGGAGGTCATGTCTGGGGGCAGGAACAGGCTGCCTCTGCCCCACCAAGGCACTGATGGTTTTTTTTCTTTGCAGACTCGCTGGCCAGGCCCAGACGAACCGTGTTCACCCGTGCGATCGAGGGCTGTGACCTCCACTGGCAGGACAGCCACCTGCAGCGCATCATTAGCAGTGACTTCTACATATCTCCCTCCTACCAGCGGGAGGGCGAGAGCCTCCTCTTCAACTCCCAGGGGCAGCCACTGTGGCTAAGGGAGCATCCATTGCCTTGCCTGGGTGGGTAGCCTTGCTAGCGGAGAAGAGCCACCTGAGGCATCAGAGAAGCTTTGCTGCCCTGGGTCCTTGCAAGCTTCTGCATCCTAAATTAAAATTGCCTCTCTGGCCCTTAGCCTGAGGAGTAGGGCGAGCTGAAGAACTTGATGCCCTCTCACACCTCAGCCACAGTCCTTGTAGCAAACCCCACATCTTTACAGTCTGGGTTCCCCTTGGGCAGCTTGGATGGGCCTCGTCCTGTCCTCTTTCATCCTGCCAGTGTTTAGCTGTCCCCAGTGTAAGTTCTCACTGTTCCCAGTACAGGGGGACCGGACACTTGAAGTCCCTTGAAAGTTGGCTGGGGAGCACAGCTATATCCTCTGGATATTTTTCTTCTCTCCTCTCACCCTTTCTTTAGTCTTCTTTTAAAGGCAATTAGCAGACAGTACAATTAAGCTTTGTATGAGCTTAAGGCATACTGGACCAGTCAAGCCCTGTACCCTCCTGTGTTGTAGACCTTTAGTCCATGTACCTCAAGCCACCCAACTTCTCTACTGCAAAGTCGTGACCCAGGGCAGATCTGCAGACCCTTGACAGTAACATGTCTGGGATGAGAATGAGTGAGATGAAGGGCTTGGGGGGGTGTCTGGTGTAGCTGTCAGCCCTCAGACTGACCCCAACAAGGGAGATGCAAGCCCCCCACACCTCCAGGCATGGAGGATGCCTCATCCCTACGCCACAAGAGGTGAATGCATGGACACGAAACAGGTCAAAACCCACCACTGCACTGTCATCTACTCCAGGAGCCGGGGTCTGCCGTCACCCGGCCAAATGGGAAGAGAATACTTAAAAGTCATCCAGAGATGTGGTTTCTGGAGCAGCAGACACTAAGTTGCCGGTGTCTGGCAGGAGATAAGTTAAAAAGGGCCTATGTGAAGGCTGCTGGTACACTTTTGTTAGCTTAGCTGGAGCAGGAGAGGACATTTCTACTGTGGGCAGAGTTTTGTGTAGCTGCAGGCAGCAGTTCTGCTCCCCGCGCAGCCATAGGCAGTGGTGGTGGGTTGGTGCTTCCAGGGGCTCCATCAAGCAGGGATGTGGTGGCCACGGCTTGCCTGTCCCTAGCGTAATCTGGGTTCTGGGGAGCCCTTTCGCCCAGCTGGTTGGTGCATGTTATTCTTCTGATGTATTTGCTGTGATTTTTGGATTTTGCGCTTTTGCTTTCTTAGCACCCCTTCAGGGACACAGAGAGGAGTGTTATTTGTCAGCAACTTCCAGTGATGAATTCAGCGAGAAGCTGAATATTTCATCCATTTAGCAAATGAATAGAAGGAGCGACAAGAAGCTCTTTTACAGATGTGTTTGTTCTGAAACCTCTTCCTCGTGTATTCCTTGTGGGTGACCTTCGGGATGTGGAAACCCCATTTGTGGAGGTGGTTGTCTGCATTTCCAAAGCTTTCTGAGCTCTTCCAGGAATAGAAATTATCCCTCTACTGTAATTTTAGATCTTCTGTTTGCTTCCCGCCTGCCCCCCGCCTCGCCTTGGTAGGACACTTTGCGAGAAAATGGGGTTTTCGCTGCTTGTTATGCAGCATGTCATGTCATCTGCTCCTGCTAATTTCTCACTCAGTCATAATCCTCTCCACAGTTGTTTGTGATTTCAGGTGAGCAATGAGCAGCAGGAGCAGATGAATTCCTAAGCAACTGTGAGTTGGCGGGGGGGGGTGGGTGGGTGTTGTGCAACTGTTCCTAATAATAAAACACCAGGTAGGAGAGCTGCAGAAGAAATGGGGTGTCTGCAGAAGTCGCTCCACGGAGGCATTAAGGAAGCAGTTCAAAACATCACCCCAAATCTGCCAGTGCCCCCAGGGCAGTGCTGGATGCTCAGCCTCACCCCATGTATCCTCACCTGTGCCACGAGAGCAGGGAGAGGTGGACGAGACGCCAAGAAGTGTTTGGGTGCACAGCAAAGACAGAAATAGCCATAAGCCATGCAGATTTTAGGAGAAGTGAGCGGCAGTGTTGTAACAGCCCGTGTTTGGAGCCGTCATATTGCAGCAATGGCATGTTGGAAATGCTTCCATTAGATAAGGTTTGTGGAGGTGGGCATTTAGGTACTGACGTGGCTGCTGTGGGTTGAACGTGGTAGGAGTCCCGTTAGTATTCCTGGTAGGCATCCTTGCCAGGAACAGAGAGAAAGGGATGAATACAAGACAGGGAGCAGGAATTTAGCTGGGGTGTGGAGAAGATCAGTAGAAGGAAATGCCCTGAAGCATGATGCTGTCAGGTTCTCTCCCCCCATCAGTACCATCCTGTGAATTTCTGTGCTCCTCTGGCTCAGCCATGTCCCCATGTTTGTCCTTGCCTTGCAGAACACGTCCCAACAGCCTGCGCTCGGGTGGATGCCCTGCGCTCCCACGGCTACCCCAGAGAAGCTCTCCGACTTACTGTTGCCATAATCAACACCCTGCGACTGCAGCAGCAAAGGCAGCTGGAAATATATAAGCATCAGAAGAAAGGTATGATTAGAGCTATGGGAGATGTGTCTCACGAAGTCGAGCTGGAGTGTCCTAGCTGGTTGAGAAAGTCTTTTCCACCTCAGAGAGTAGTGCTGCCCCATCCAGAGCAGCAGATGTTGACGGTGGGCAGCGCTGTATGGGATTACTCACACCCTAGATAGACAAAGTGATGCATCTGATTGCTTGAGCCAAACAGTGTTGGTAGCCACGTGCTAAGGACAGAGGTGCCCACCTGCTGTCTTCAGGCTACTGGAGTAGGGATGGTCTTGTTCCCACTGTTGCCTTGTCTGGTTGTCTGTAAGGATTGCACAGGCAAGTGATGCCTGCATTAAAGAGGAGCTGCTTGTCTGCAGAGCTGTGGTAACTGGCTGCGTGTGCTACCTCCACCTTGCATTCGCTGAGTAAACTGTACCAGGAGGGAAAGCTAGTGTTCCTTCTTTTGCCATTGCAGTTGGCTGGCAGCCGGGGCCCGTTACTGCCATGCTGCTGGTGGTCATTGACTCCTGGACCTTACTAGCTCAGCCAGCTTGAGATCATCAAAAGATGGTTCTTTTAAGACTTACTGGGAATCTTGGTCATCTCGAGAGAGATTTCTGCTTGTGTTTCCAAAACATTTGGGCTACCATTGCAAATGAGTCCATAAGCTGCAGGTCTGACTTTATAGACCCCATGTTGGGACTCTGCACTCCCTCATGTCCTGGAACAGGGAATGAGCTGCTGCATCTTATGTGGCCTTAGTGGCACCTTTTTTTTTTTGTTGGGGGCCTGCCCCCGCTGATGTCTGTGGCAGCGTGCATGGTGGCTCCTCTGAGCTGCTCCTTGCCCTCGTGAACTACCATGCCAGAGTTGGCCCTGGAGGTCCACATGTCCCAGGCTGTGGGGTAAGAAAAGGCCTCTGGTCTCAGAGACCCCTCTGGGCGCAGAACCTGCCTTTAAATTCCTCACTTTTACTGTCTTTTGGTTCCATTTTTTGCAGAGCTGCTGCAGAGAGGAGCAACAACCATCACCAACTTGGAGGGCTGGGTAGGCCACCCTCTGAACCCCATCGGCTGCCTCTTTCTCACCTTGACTGAAGCTTGTAGATTAGAAGAGGAAAATTGCCTTGAAATTTCAGGTACCGAGTGCTCCTCTTGGCTCCCTTCCCGATGGCTGCGGCTGAACCAAGCCCGGGGGGGCAGACTCTGGGTGCAGGTCTGGGGCTCAGGACTCCTGGGCTCTGAACCTCCCCTCTCTCCACCTTTGCAGGAGCAGCCAGGGCAGAGCTGCGGTACAAAGAGGGGGAGTTAGTGGCCCGGAGTTTTCCCAGCCTTGGGGTTTGCAGCCAGAGCAGAGCAGGAGAGCAGCTTAGCAAAGCTGGGCTGAGGCCTGCTGGCCCATGAGAAGGCGCTGGTGCCAGCTGTGTCCCCTGCTGCACATGTCTCAGGTCTCCTGCATCTCCTAGTGAGAGCAGGAAGGAGGGTGAAGCCCACATCTCCCGCAGGGAGCTTTTATCCATCATCTCTGGGTGACCAAAGGCAGGCAGCAAAGGAAGTGTGGGTCTTGCTTCTGAAGTTGAGAGGTTTTTCTCTCTGTTGTGGTTCTGCCACCTAGGAAGGCTCTTCTAACCCTGGTGCATCTCTTCCTCCTTCTTCCAGATGCCGGGGACTCCAAACCCCCAGTGTATCAACATGTGCCCGTCATGACCGGCAGCCAAGACAGTGGCGAGTCCTACCTGTCCCTGGCCTTAGAGGTGGCCCTGATGGGGATGGGTCAGCAGAGAGTGATGCCTGAAGGTCTCTATGCCCAGGACAAGGTGTGCCGCAACGAGGAGCAGATTATTGCCCGGCTGCAGGACCTGGAGCTGGACCCGGTGCTGGTGCAGACCCTGCGGAAGCAGTGCATCTTGCTGCTGGAAGGTGGGGGCTTGGTCCACAGAGCTGGCTTCTGTGTCTTAGCTGAGTGTTGGTAACATCTCCGGAGTGCCCTTTCCAAGGTTTATGCCTTGCTGACCCCGTCCTGGCTTCTTCCTCTGTGGGTGTGGTGCTGAGTCTGTAGGATGGCTGCTCTGCCCCATCATCTGGCAAAGCAAGGGTTTGCTGACATCCTTGGAGCGAGACCACCTCAGAGGCGTTACGGAGAAGGGTGCTAAGCACGTCACCTCAGTTTCTGAGGGATTTTGACCTGAAAGTGTTTTTAGAAAAGCAGAGCAGCCCTTTGCCCTGGATCCAACTTGAGTAACACACCAGGGAGCTGCTGAGCAAATCCTTAAAGCTTTGAGGTGGTGCAAACCCCAGCCACAGATCCTGCTGTGCTAATTATGGCTGGTGGGCTCTGCTTCTGCCTAGGTGGTCCCTTCAGCGGCTTGGGAGAAGTCATCCACCGTGAGAGTGTCCCCATGCACACCTTTGCCAAATACCTGTTCTCTGCCCTGCTGCCCCACGATGCAGACCTGGCGTACAAGCTGGCTTTGCGGGCCATGAGGTTGGTGCATGTTTTATTCCATCTCTGACCCCCTTTTGCCCCTCTCCTATGCTCTGCCGGGAAGCCGGGATGCTTTGCATCCCTAGAGCAGGGATGGGAGTGGAGGCAGGCTTGGAGCTTGCAATCCCTGGGATCTTGTGCAGTGTGTAGGGCCACCCAGGCACAGCAGCAGTGCAAAGAGACTCCTGCTCTCCATTTGGGTGATTCCTGGTTTACAATCTCCGTCCATGGGGATTTGCATGGGTCCGATAACGTCTGCCGATCCAGCCCTCTGCCCAGCCCCTTGCCCCAGGCTGGACCGCTACCTGCCTGTCCTGGTGATGGGTATCCTCCGCCAGAGCAGATCCCAGACACACACGGTGCTGTCTTCTGCCTTCTGTCTGCCAGGCCTCAGGCATCCTGCAGCCCTCCCTGCCTGCAGGAAGGGCTGTTATCCCGGCACAGATGGGGAGATGATTTGCCCCAGGCTCCAGGATGTTGCAGAGCCAGGTGGAGGGCACAGTCACACTCTGTTCTCCATTAAAGCCCGGCTCCATCTCTGGGACTGGGGACATGGCTGATGCCAAGCGCTGCCCCATTTCCCTCCCCGGTGCGTGACACACCTCAGACATCAGCCTTTGTACTGCAGTTTTTTGGCATGGGCTGGGTGGGTCTTGAAAAGGCTGGAATTTCCCAAACGTGTCAATGCTTGAAGAACAATCAACCCAGAGCATCCCAGTGCCCTCTCCCACTGACATCATTAAAAGTTACAGCCCAGAGCGTCATCTTTCTTGCAGTATTTCCTCAGTGAAATGGGCCATCTCTCCCCAACACTGGGGGAAATTTTGAAAGCCCCCTGTCCTGGGAAGAACTGCTCAGGAGGACAATTAGACCTAACGAGCAGCCAAGGGCCTCTGCAGCGTGTGGGGACACCATGCCCCACCAGACCCAAGACCTCCAGCCATCGAACAGGAGCAGGACTGAGTGCCCTAGGGGTGCGTGTAGCTCCCTTGCCATCTGTTAGTGCCCGTCCCCTGCTCCCAGCTGGGACTCCCTATGTCTGGGTGTCTCTGACCTGGGCTGGGAAGGCTGGGCTTCTGCTGCCCCATGGGTACCCCAAGCCTGTGAGCAAGGAGAGCGGAGACAGTTGGATGCTCTCCGTGTTCAGAGGGACAGTTTCCCTCCTGCACGCTTTCCCTGGCCATCAAGTTAGTGACACCAGCACCAACTTGCGGGTTTAAGAGCCAACATGGTTTTGTCACCGTGGCTGGCGACATGAGACTCCTGCTCCCCTTCTTTAGGCTTCTTTCTCCCCTGGGTTTTCCAGGCTTTTGGATATCCCCGCAGAAGCAGGTAACCTAACCAGGCTGCAGAGGCCCTGGGGAAATGTGCCGCTGCTTCTGATCATAACCGGGCATTTTAAGAAGAACCAGATGATAAAGCCAAGAGTTCTGCCGGGTGCTCTGACATGAAACGAGTGGGGAGGGAGGAGGGATTTTGCCTTTTTTTTTTTCCCCTGAGGTTTGTGCTTTTCCTTACAAGTTTATAAATCACTTCACGGATCATTCTCCTCCTTTCAAGTCAGTCTGAGATTGATCCCCATGCCCATGTGTTGAGCACGCAGCCTCAGGAGCCCCCACACATGCACAGCAGCAGGATGCTTTCAAAGGCATCAGCTGCCTGCAGGCAGCCCCTGCCTCTTCTCGCCAGCACCCTGGGGAGAAGGGGCGAAGCTGGGGCTGGGCTGGGGTCTGATGTTGCCTCCTCTTGTTTGCCCTTCAGGTTGCCCGTCCTGGAGACCACGGCACCGTCCGGCGATGTGACTCACCCCCACCACCTGGTCTCTGTGGTCCCCAGCAGATACCCACGCTGGTTCACGCTGGGGCACCTGGAGTCACAGCAGTGCGAGCTGGCCTCCACCATGCTCACGGCAGCCAAAGGTTGGTGGGGGGGCGGCTCTGGGACAGGGGTGATGGGACGATGCTTCACAAGAGCATCAAAGGGATTTTCCTTGAGAAAGGAGGGTCTGCACTGGCAGAGATCAGCTGGGTGCCCCACTGGCAGCCTGCTGTGGGCAGGGCACAGTGAGCTGGCCTCGGAGCAGCCCACCAGAGTCTGGGATCTCTGGGGCTCTTGTCCCAAAGGACTCCAGGGCTCATGGTCCAGCGGGGTGGGACAGGAGGCTCCCAGGAAGTGCAGGCAACCCTGCAAGGGATGCCAACCACAGTGCTGCAGATCCTGGGTAGTGCCCCTGGGTGATGCTGGACCATGCCTTCCCTGCAGCATGGTCAGTTGCCAGGTCAGCTAGCCCTGCAGACGTGTCGGGGGTTCATGCCATGGTTTAGTTTGTAGCCGCTTATCCTTTTACCTCTGCTTTGTCTCTTTCTGCCCTGTGGTAATAATCTTGCACAGGCTGTAGGAGGGAGAAGACCTCCCTGTGCACCAAACCACATGTGGCTTGTGGCAGAGCTGGAGATGGGGACAGCTGTGCTGGGTGGGACACCTTGGTCCCAGCCACAGGGGGCTCGTTAAACACCTCCTCATGGGTCTTCTGGGCCTCTTCAGTTCCTGCCCAAGCACAATGATGAAGGCGAGCACAGGCTTTTCAGTAAACATCCCTCTGTCCAGAAACCAACCCCACTAGGATGGCAGGCACCTTGTGCCCCGTGAAGGTTGGCGAGCCGAGTGGTTACCACTGCCCACTGCTGTCCCGCACGGTCTGCAGAAGCCTCCAGCCCTGGTGCTGCCGGCCTGATGGGGAAGGGGCTGCTTCCCCGGTGACGTGGAATATGAATGAGCTGTCAGAAAGCTCCAACTCTTCTCCTCTCCTCTCTCTTCCTCTCCTCTCCTCTCTCTTCCTCTTGGCTGCTTTTCCAGGGCTGATGGTGTCCTGCCCCTGCCTTGCAGTGTGCTGATGGAGAGCTGGTACCTGGCTTATCCTTTAGATTCTTCTCCCTTCCAGCACCTAATGGGGATGAAGTTTTTATGCCGGGAGTGTAGGGCTGTTGGATTGCATTTGTTTTTCCCACCATCCCCTTCCCCAGGTGTTCCCCGCCACATCATGTCCTGATGCGATCCTACATCCTCACAGCCTCTCTCACCCACGCCCCCGTGAGCCATTTTAGGGAGGCTTGGATTTTGGTGGTGGTGCAAGCAGCTGCTGTGGGTGGCAGGCGATATTTTTAGCTATTAGTCACCCAAGATGTCTGTGTGCCCAAGTGCAGCGCTAGGTTTTTCACAGGGCTGTGCGTTATTTGGTTTTCTTTGTCTGAGGTTTGTCTGCTCAGTTTATGACTACAGGAGTAGAAACATGAACCTGGAACAAACCAGAGGGACCTGATGTGGCATGTTGGCATCTCTGGTCTGCATCCCACACCGAAGGTCCCTCTTCTCACCCTCTGTCCCACAGGGGCTGACAGGAGGATTTCCCAAGCCAGATGCAGGATCATGATATTAATATGCCTTGATTGGTTCTTCTTCCAAGATCCTGCTCCATCTCCCAATGCCATCACATATCCTTCTAGCACCCCTGGCCTCCTGTGGCAGGAGACCCACACCATCACTGGGTGTTGTGCCAGGAACCCCCTTCTTTGGGGGTATCTCAGCCTGTCTCAGTCGTGAGAGCTGCGTGCCTGACCTGGGACATCCAGGACCAAGCCGCAGTGAGTGTGAGTGGCCCTGGCCCAGCCTTTGCTAGCTTTGCAGAGGGAAGGGACTCACTGGGCAAGACAGTATGTGTGCAGCAAACAGCTTTTCTTCTTCTTTTTGGTGTTCCTAAATGAAGACTGACCTTTCTGCAGCCATTCAGCACTGGGCATCTCCCCAAGCCCCTCCTTTATTGGGAAGAGTCTGCTTTACAGCTGTCAATCTTGAGCCCAGGGTGCCTGGAGGTGTCTGCTAATGCTCTAGGATGTGTCTGGGATCACTCAGGGTTGTTTGTCCTCTCTGTCAGAGGATGATCTTGAGCGAGGATGGGTGCTAGAGGATGTGTCACCTCCTGGGGAGGACGCCCAGGTTTGCTGTTGGACTGCAGGGCCTGATGCAGCATCCCATGTGTGTGTCAGAGGGGCTGACCGTGCCGAAGGGGCTGATCACCACCCGGTGCAGGCAGATGGGGCTCAAGGGCAAGGTGGGGGGAGGCTGAGCCCTCTGACCATTCTTGCCTGCACCCAGGGGACATGCTGCGCCTACGCACGGTGCTGGAGGCCATCCAAAAGAACATCCACTCCTCCTCCTTGATCTTCAAGCTGGCCCAGGACGC